AAAGAAAGAAAGAAAGAAAGAAAGAAAGAAAGAAAGAAAGAAAGAAAGAAAGAAAGAAAGAAAGAAAGAAAGGCACTAACAAAGTCAAATAATTATTCAACTGCCTTAGTGCTGTGCTAAGGTAGACATGTTAATATTCTGATCCCACCCCTTGGTGCCTCCCTGCCTGTAAAAGGAAAAACTCTTTCCTTTCCTCTCCCCTCTTCTGTTTTTCCCACGAGGTTCACACCCCTTGCCCTTCTGCCTCTCTCTATCTCTCTATTTCCCACCAAATAAAACTCTTTACTGAGGGCTGTCTGCATGGCATCTCTGTGTCTCACCCGCCGTGGGGCACCTTGGCTCTACCCACCAGGACCTCCCGCATACAATATCGTAACACGCATACTTGATCAGTCACACACATGGAACCCCACTGTTCACACAGGAGGAATTTTAAGTGATTGAAATGAGTTGCCCTTGAAGATAGAATCTTCCACATGAAAAACAAATATAGCACAACAGTCATTGCCTAAAGCTCAATGAATTGCAGTTATGTATTCAGTGATTGCTACATAGAATCTAAGAATTCACATCAACTAAACAGGAAGGATTGTAAATAATTTGAGTTTCCTTTTTCTGGAAGGTTCCATCTTTGCTTTCTGTCGTCATCAATCCTGAAATTCAGACACCTGCTACCAAATTTTGTCTCAGGCAAAAGAACCACCAAGGGCATAATCGGAATGTCTGGGCTGTAGACTTCTTCCATGTGCTTCCTGTTCTACCTTCTACAATGTCTCACATGATACAGTTTTCTATTAATCTGGGGTGTGGAACGCATCAGCCTGGAAACAGGTAGGAAGCACATTTTAGTCCTGGTCCGGTGGGAAATGAGCATGTGTGCACTTGGCCAATGAATTAGAGAGAATTTGTCAGTAGATTTCTGTATGGGTTTTTAATACAATGTGTATTAACAAAATACAGATTCCTCCTCCTCACTAAAAAAGTTATTCGATTAATAAACAGGAGGGATGTGACTGGGTAGATTTTTTGGTGAAAATAGCTTCATTCTGAGAGCTTGATATAAGGTATTATGGGTGTTTGCACATGCCGTGGCAGCACCCATTATAACAGACTGACGAGAGAGAAAAGGTAACTGAAGACAAGATCGACCTCTTGGTGGCTAGTGACCCCAAATAATAGGTATGGAAGTCAATTAGCACTTCAAGGGCTATGCCTTCTCCCTTTCACTTGCGTAAGTGTTGCTCAGATCCTCTGTAAGAATTTTTCTGGTCTCACATGCACAGGATGAAGTGGCAGTGTGTGAGACATGGTAATTGCCTTGCTATCTATCAAGTTCAAAACACAAACCCAGGTCACTGTGTGTTGTCCTTCAAATATAGCTTTTATGGCAGCAATCCAACCGCTTGCCCTTTGAAGGCTGGTCAGACTCTAGTGAGACACGGCGCAGTCCCATACTCGTTGACTTATTTAAGGTATTTAGCTAGAAATAAAAAGAATCATTTGAGATCTCCTTATCCCCCTTTTGTTGTGGTTTCTCTGCTATTATTAGTGTCAGCTTGGAGTTTTCCACCAACCACGGGCGTTCCTGGACGCTGCTCCACACTGAGTGCTTGCCTGAGATCTGTGCGGGTCCCCACCTCCCACATAGCACTGTCTACTCCTCTGAAAACTACAGTGGGTGAGTAAACACACTCCAAGGTTCCATTAAAAGGTTGAATCCATATTGTGCAATAAAAAACAATGAGTAATTTGAAGACTAGGCATTTTATATAATAGTTAAACAAACTGACTTCTTAAGAGTGGTATTATGAAAATAAATGCACAAATATTTTTGCTAAATCCTAGCATGACCACACTTTATTAGATCAGTTATCCTTTATGTGTGATACTTGTGTTATGCATATATGCCTCATGGTTATTGCTTTTTAAAAGATATTGTATTGCCAAAATACAGACTTAAAATGAGTAAAAGAAAGATAACTTTTTAAGTTAGACCTGGGTCAGATCTTACTCTGCTATGTGTAATGGTGGTCAGTTTCACTTTCCACGTAATTTAAGGTCCACCACACACCCTTTTGTGGACTAGTATAAAATTAAAGACGACTCTGTAAAGCTTTGCCAGCTTACAGAATAAGCACTCGTTACACAGTAAAATATTTACAAGGCCGGCAAAATGAAGACACAGACTGCACAGGTGAGGGTAAACACTTCCTTAATTGTGGCGTCGTGCATGCGCACAGACGCAGGAAACTCACAGGCGTGTAAGTTAATTCAGAAGACGGGAACACAGCTGCAAGGCTGATGCTGGGCTCAATTTCTTGCAGGTGGAACCGAGTCACGATTCCCCTCCCCAACGCGGCACTCACCCGAGACACCAGGATTCGCTGGAGACAAACAGGAGTAATCCTTGGGAACATGTGGGCAATTGATAATGGTTCGTGTCTGCGCCTGTCACAATCACAGGCCATTGATGTAGACTCTTCCTGGGCTTTTGTCAGTCAGCGCACACATCCCATTTCTAAGTCATGGTCTTGCGATTCATTAACCAGCCTTTCTTCCCTTCCTCCTTTGCATTCCGTTAGAAGCCCGCGGATGCACAATCAGAAAAAATAGGCTGTGTAGTCAGCAATATTAGATGCTGAAATGTTTCAACATACGTAATTTTAAAATGCTTAAATCCCTAAAATTCAAATTCACAGTTGATGACAAAGGATAGCCTAACATTTTCTTGAATTTTATGCAAAATTAGCATAAGTACCATGCTGCATGTATTAAAATAAGACCCATTCTTCTTAATAACTTCCATAACATCTGGGTCGCTTATCTTCTGGTTCCAGACATTACACAGAGAGGTGAACATTGTCTCTAAGATACTCAAGAAACCTACCCTGTTTTCATAAAATGGCATGAAAGAAATATTTGGATATCCATAAAAACTGTTGACTGGACTGTCGATCATTTCCACACAATTTAAAAGCCAGTATCACTGTGCTACAGTGTACATGTATGTGTGCAGTTAAGAGGCAATATTTTAAGCCATTAAGTTACATGGCTTTTACATTGTTATTAAACACCAATAGTGTTTGCTTGCTTATTTTGTCTTAACTTCTAGATAGATTTGTAGGACATATAAATTTGAGTAAAAGTTTATACTACAAGGAAGAAGAAGGGACCTGGAGAGGAAGACACAAAAGAATAGAAGGAAGGCAGAATGTCAGTGCTTAGGCAATTTAACATACCCCCTGACTTGGTTTGTCCTATTTTATAAAACCATAGTTTAATGCTGATTTTCCATGAACTTGTCTTCTCTTTCTTTCTTTCTTTGAATAATTTAAACTCTGAAAAACTAATTGCATAAGGTTCTTAAATTGAAGATAACTCCCAGGCAAGATAGCTTACCCATATGCCAACATGAAGTCTATGTGATCTATATAAGCCCATGATATTAAACCTAGTATATAAACTAAACTATCTGAGGTTTAATTTGTTAAAATAAAGTTTCTCCACTGGTAGAATATTTGCATAGTATTTTAATTACCACAGCTGCTAATGGGCTCCAGGGTACATACCCACTGGGCACTAGGATATGAATAGATTTTTCCTAGTGTCATTCTATTTAAGAGTTCTATAATGAATCTTTATTACTTTTAATAATCACAAAAGAAGTTGAAAAACTAGTAATAAAGTGAAGGGCAACTATGAGGAAATTAAGAGTATAATGAAACATATGTGTGCCTATGTGCAAGTGGCCCCAGTTTCCTAAAAACAAGCAATCCCAGCATGGTTTGGGTCAGGGAGTGTTTACTGACCACTGCTGACCACCCAGCACCATGTCTGAGTCTCATGGGAAAGTGCACATGGTGTGTGGCGGAGGCACAGTGAGGAAAGATTCCCTTCAGTTCCGTCCTGTATGAACCTCTCCAAGAACAGGCTCTGGCCCCAGAGTGTTCACAGGATAGGAAGAGGACCCACATGTCTCCCAGAAAGAACACCCCTGCCATCTCTCCCATTTAACTATCAAACCCTAGAATTACATCAAGGAAATCTAGAGAAAATGTGGAGAATTGTGTCATGGGAGATACATGGAGAAAAACATTAGCACAATGTCACAATTTCATTGAGCACTTCAGAAATAATCCTGAAAATATTGACAAAATGGAAAATCCTAGGGTAGGCTGTTTTTGTCTTTTTTTTACTTCTCTGACTATGTTGATGAAATAATGAAGTCAGAAGAGAATGATAATTGAGTGTAATTTTACTGTCTTTGAAAGCCTTATGCTATTGATGATTTTGTTTCAATGAATGCTTTTCAATCTATGATGTGGTGTTGAGGCCCCAGGCAGCATCCGGAGTAACTGCCTGTTCTGTCCCTCAGCACGTGGTGGATAGTGGAGCCTTCTGGAAGACAGGGCAGGAGAGTAGTGGTGGCTATGGTGATTACAGCCGCATGATGCAACACTTCCTGAACATGGCACAGCTACTCTTTTCTCTGAGAAAGGTCATCGTCCCACTTTATAGAATGGAGACAGTGAGGCTTAGTCAGGATAAATCATTCACCCAAAGTTTTCCGGGCAAAGCTAGAATGTAAACCCATGATTAGCTGATACCTACAGCCAACACTTTTAACCAGTGTGCTATCTAATCACTTCTAAGTAGGCAGTTTCCTTCAGCAAGAGATATTTGCATTGCAACTCCTTAGATTTTTCTGCACATACTAATTGGGTACAGGGATTATATGCTCCTGGGAGTTGAGGCCACAGCAAAATTTATTTTAAAGTAAATTGTTGGAGTATTTTGATGTGACTATAGGACAGAAAAGAATGTGATAATTTTTCATGCCTAAAACTGAGTACTGTAAACCCTTAGCAACCACTGCATCTCTGCTCCTAATTGGTTTTCTCCCATTATACTATTGGTTATTGATTATGCTTAGTATAAAATTCTTATATCTTTATTTGTATTAAAGTCTTACTACCTCAGATACAACCTTGTAGGCCTTTTCACTATGCAGAAGATTAGACTTTGAGTCTATACTATCACATTGTCAGTCAATCCAGCATTTAGTGGGGAGACTATACATTATGGAGAAAGCTTTGCTCAACAACAGATTCTTTTTTGTTTGTCTGTTTTGTTTTTGTTTTTTGAGACAGGGTTTCTCTTGTAGTCTTGGTGTCTGTCCTGGATCTCACTCTGTAGACCAGGCTGGCCTTGAACTCACAGAGATCTGTCTAGCTCTACCTCCCGAGTGCTGAGATTAAAGGCGTGTCCCACCACCACCCAGCTCAACAATAGATTCTTAATGTTGTTCCATATTTCCAGGGAAGAAGAACTAATATTTAGAAATATATAATGCTCATCCATGATATTGTATATTTTCTCTCAGGTAAGAATAGAAATTATAGTTGTGGTCTCTCCGCTTTGTGATGCATCAAATAGATCTTCTATTTCTCCCCGAAGGAGATACACATTACAGGACATCCAAAGCACAAGCACTAGCAATCTGTCTGTAATTGTTGGGGCAGAAGACATTGCAGTAAGGAATATAAATTACACAGCCCTGTTCCTGTGAGTACAAGCATTAAAATCTTCGAAGAATTATTTATGGAAATTAAAACAGATCCAGCATATTGTGCCTAAAAGCTCACACTGCCTCCTGGCTCCCTGCATGTCACCTCAGACACACACAACAGGCCGTGTTTCATGGGCATTGCTTTCTAAAATTATATTGGTAATTATGTCAACACCTTTTACATGACTTCTTTCTCCCTATAGTTTATATAGGTCCATCGTGTCTCAAATTCTGTTCTGGCAGAGGACAATGCACTCGACATGGTTGCAAGTAAGCATTTAAAAATTATGTTTGGTTGTCCCTTTATATATACACATTATGTATATATACATATATTGAGGCCATGAGCCATTTAAGTGTATTTAATATTCTTTTTTAGAATTTGAGTTATTCTTTAAAAACTAAAATCAGGTCACTCTATGTGGAATCACTCTGTGTGTGTGTGTGTGTGTGTGTGTGTGTGTGTGTGTGTGTGTGTGTGTGTGTGTGTGTGGTGTGATATGTGTATGTGAGGATGATGTATATATAAGGTGTATGTGCATGTGTTGAGCAAGGGAGTATATGCAAAAACAGGAGAAGATATAGCGTGTCCTCATTCTATTACTGTCTTGTCTGTCTCGTTCCTTTGAGATGGGGTCTCTCACTGAACCTAGGACCAGGCTAGCAGCCAGCCAGCCCCGCCTCTGCCTTCCACATCCCCTGGATTGTAGTCATGCATGGACCATACCTGGCTCCTACATGTGCTCCAGCAACTGGACTCGGGTCCTCATGCTCATACAACGAGCCCCCTTACCCACTGGTCCATCTCCCCAGTCCTCAAAATGAGATTTAAATGTAACATAAAGTTACAATTTAAATTATGTAAATTTGTAAAATTGGTTGATAAATTTATATTGGGCTAAGTTGTAAAAGCTGTAGTATCCCTCATGTAAATTTGTAACAAATCCAAATCCCTCACAGCTGGATTGTTAGCTTTTCTGTGCATTTTATAGAACAATGGTGCTGACTATGAAGTATTAAGTAATATACTAATAGGGTAATATCCAGTTGCCACCAGTGAGTTGTGTTATATTAATCCCAAGAACAGATAGTCACATTTATTATGTCATTTCTGTATTAATATTTAATTCTAGATCTCTTGTAAATTCCTGAAGCCACAGGCCATCTTTGTCATAGAGATAAGTTCTCAACACCTCAAAAATAATTAATTAGGTAACTAATTAATGAATAGACAATTTACAAGAGAACTTTGAACCTGCATGTATAGAAATTATGAGACAATTGTAAACACTAGGATTAATGTGTCAGGTTAATTTCTAAGGCTGTATTTTATTGGATTCAATTAACAAAGAGATCACTCTGTACAATTAAATATTTTGTGAAGTATGTGAGGAATTGAAAATTTTCTATTTATACTTTAAAACTAAATATGAACATCCAATGTTTTTTATTGGAAGAGTCTTGTGTGCACCCAGAGGTGTGTGAGTTTTCAACTCTGTGTATGTTTGCACGCATGTGTGTAGAAGTCAGAGGACATATTGGGGTGTCATTCCTTAGGGACCATTCACCTTCATTTTCAAAACCAGGTCTCTCTCTCTCTCTCTCTCTCTCTCTCTCTCTCTCTCTCTCTCTCTCTCTCTCTCTGTCTGTTTGTCTTTGTCTGTCTGACTCTGTGTCTGTCTGTGTGTGTTTGTCTCTCTCCCTCTTCCTCCCCTGTCCTTGGGTTTGAGGCTTCCCAGCTAGGCTACACATGCAAGCCCCATGTATATAGGGATCCTCCTGTCTCTGCCTCCCAAAGACTAGGATTTAAAGTGAGCACCATGATGCCCAGCTTTCATGTGGCTGTTGGGACCACACTCAGGTTCTTGTGCTTGTGAAGTGCACCTTTGCCAAGGGAGCCATCCCTGACTTTTGAGATAAACTCCTGTCCCAGAGTTGTTCATTAACTCTTTGAAACACCGGCTGTTTCCCTCAAATTGCTGTTTTTTTCTATTATCTATAATGAGGCCATCTTTTTTTAAATGCATTTCACATAAAATTAACACAAGAGAAATTTAAATTGTAGGTCTATGCTTTTAGAAACTTTTTTACATCAAAAATTGTCAGGAATAAACATCTTCTCTTTCTAAAGTTTTACTGAGTAGTTTGACAATTGGAAAATTGCTTTTCTCCATATTCTGGGGATATTTTATATAATAGTGATTACCTTAGTTCTTCAGTGGGTAGGCTAAATTTAACTACTGCCTCTTTTTCTGTGAATATACGGTTTATTGAGTTGGAACAAAAATTACACAGAAAAGAAATTTATATTCAGTATATTCTTTGGAAGCAAATCTTGAACTGGGGGCTTCCCCACTTAGCTCTAATCATCATTATCATTATTTTCTTCCCCACAACATTTTTTTCTGGCTTTTGTTCACCTTGAGGCTGAATTTCTAAACTGAGGTTCACTTAAGTATTACCCGTGTATCTCAACAGTGGGAGGTTTTTTCTGACATAGAGAGTGGATATGTGGCCACGTTTGGAGGTAGGCAGATGAACCAATAGTGGTCATGTTAGGAGTCTGATAGTTCCTGTCACTCCTAAGCTGCCAGTGTGATTGTTGGATAGCAAAGAATCTGCTGATTGTCTTTAAGCACAAATGGAGCCTCTGTTGGGATTCTGTCCCAGTTAGACAATCTTTTTAAAAGTAGACTTTCAGAACTATTTTATGGGAAGAGACTCCAATGTGCTCTGCATCTAAATGGCCACCCCTTTGTCCCAATCCAGTTTGAAGAGAACATAGTTAAGATGCACAAAGGTATATTTACCCTGAGATGCACTCTGCTAGACTTATTGGGAAACAATTCCAATTGCTTGCCATGGTAAATCACACTTACACTTCTTGTGCGTCCAACTTAGCTGATGTTTTCTAGTCTGTTTGGAAATTGCTTGGTGACTCAGAGGATGAATGTATCCATGAAATAACATGTGTAGAAGCTGAGGCTCATTAACATGAGCAGTAGATAGACATTTTCTGTCCTTCATTTTTCCCTAAAGCTGTTTGTGTTACCAAGAAAACCCTTGAACTTCATGCTGTATTAGTTCTCGGCATTTTAGGGACGAGCTTCTTTGTTACCTGACAAAAATAGTATGCTTGCAACACCAGAAAATACAATGTACATCAAATTTGGCTTTTTATTTCCACTTGATCTCACATTCCGTAGACCTTGTAGAAGGCCATTGTAGGCCTTGATTTCAGAAACACTGCCAGAGAGCATTCTCTGAGTTGAACCATAACATCTACAAATTAGGACACTACTGTGTGGGAAGGTTGTTTCAGATGTCAGGAAGTTTAAAGGCTTTAGTAAAAATGCACCTTCACCAAAGACACTGATTTCATTTTATAAGTCAAAACTATACTAAAGCTAACTAGAGTATAAAAAAAGTTTCCTACATTCAAATAATAATTCAGCTATGATAAAGAAGTTTATTCATTGCTAGAAGATGGACAGGGTACAGCAGATGAGGGGGTCCCTGCAGGTGTCACACAGGGAAGCAAACCCCGTAAAGAGATGAGAATGAAAACCCGGTGCAGATAAACTTTGTCAACATGGATCAGACTTCAGGGAGTCTAATGCCAGGGAATTCATTGTCAGCATCTTTAAACCAGAGTACAATTTGGAAAAATGTTTCCAGGCAACAAACAATCCAATTTCAGGTGCACAATAATGCTTAAGGTGTGACTATGTAGAAACTCTTGTATAAAGTATGTGTGACCATGAGGGTGGGTTCTATAGCTAAAAGGCCTAGAATCTAGTGTGGTCTCTGACTATAACATAGAGGTCAGCAGGCCATAAAGTACGTGTAACATCTCCACTAAGGATGGGTAATGGTCTAGGGGGCAAGAGTCTGGGATAATCATTCTGGGGAATGTGGGTGAGGTCTGCCTCTATAGCAAAAGGTGGGTGAGCAGATAGCAAGAAGGTCTCCAGGTCGTTAACAAAATCCACCCCCCTCCCCAGCCTTCTAGGCAAGAAAACAGGTATTGTATCTCCTCCATTGAGAAAAGGCCCCTGTGTGTTTAACATTCCTGGTTTTCCTTGCTGCTTCTCTGTGAGTGCAAGGACCTTTGTGCCCCCCAGCAGGCCACCTGGCATAAACACAGCTCATTCTCACTGGGCAGTCAGGCATTGGAGAGACAAGTTGCTCTTTCTTGAACCACTACTAAATTGGGAGCCATTGAGAAGCAGCAGTTCTACTGAGGACTTGAATCTAGGTCAGAGGTGTGCAGTTTCCCTTTATAATGCCAGACTAGGTATGAGATGCTTAAGGAAATACTTGTTTTCAAAGCCTCAAAATATGTAAAATAATTCCTTTCATAATGTTACATTTACCTTTGTCTTGGAGGAAACCCATTCTAGATATTTTATAAGAAGTGTTTTGTGTTGTTTCATAAAGTTTATGAGCATTATGAATAAAATCATATGTGCTTACAAGGATTTTAAGTTGTCAATGTGTGCAGATTTGGGCTCATTTTAGGTAAGTGCTAACATTGGTCAGAGGTAAATGCTGAATTGTTTTAATTGTAGCTTGTTACAGTAGGGCCCTTCAGAGATTAAATTCTCCTAGAATATGTACAGTCAATTGGCCCCTATCAAATTTTCAGATTCAGTATTCTCCAAAGACCAGTGAGGCTTGTTTACTGTTCACTCAATCCCTGGTCTCTGGCACCCAGACACACCAACAAGCTCATGAACGTCCAAAGGATGGACTGTCAAGCTCAACAGGCTCTAAAGGACCCATAGCTTGAGACTCACCTCCAGTTCATTTCTTTCAGGTGTGACCCAGGATTTTCTGGCCCAGCTTGTGAGATGGCATCCCAGACATTCCCAATGTTTATTTCTGAAAGCTTTGGCAGCTCCAGGCTTTCCTCTTACCATAACTTTTACTCTATCCGTGGTGCTGAAGTCAGTTTTGGTTGTGGTGTCTTAGCCAGTGGTAAGGCCCTGGTTTTCAACAAAGATGGGAGGCGGCAGCTAATCACATCCTTTCTGGACAGCTCACAGTCTCGGTGAGTGTGAATTGATTTTCAGTTGTGCTTTTTTCTTTTACCAGGTGGATTTATCTTCTCATCTTTAAATGGGCTAGAAGGATGCTTAGTTTATTTAGAATTAATTTGCTCTAGTTTTTAGTAAACTAGAAGATTCACCAGTGGCTTTGAGCTACTAATGACTGACAGTTTTTTAAAAAATATGAGATGTTCACATCAAAACTGTGTTCTTAAGCCAAAGGCTGGTTAATTATTCATGTAGTTTATTTATTTGACAGCTTGCAGGGGCTGATTAGATTTACTCTACATTGTCCCTTCCCCCAATGCCTGATAAATAATGCAGAAAAGGAATGATTGGCATTTTAAGTGTGTGTACACAAGTACATAGTATACAAATAGGCAAGAACATAGATTTATTTTATGGATACAGCTGTATATATAAAATACATACAAACCTCTTCACTTATTTTTACATCTCACAGTATAGTCACTTATATTTTATAAAACAGTGACTATAAACCTACAACTTTTGAGAAGTTCATTTAAATGTGTTTGAAATTCTTTGAAAACAAAACCTGTTTATCAATAAGAATGTTAATGTGCTGACTAATTATGAATGACTTCTGTCTAGGTTTCTCCAGTTCACACTGCGGCTGGGGAGCAGGTCTGTTCTGAGCACGTGCAGGGCCCCTGACCAGCCTGGGGAAGGAGTTCTACTGCATTATTCTTATGACAATGGGATAACATGGAAACTTCTGGAGCACTATTCATATCTCAGCTATCATGAGCCCAGGTATGTCAGGATACATTGACAAAGATGGGTAGTGTAGTATTTCCTTCCTGGGATGAATCACAATTCAGTTTTACAATTTTGCAGATGGCCAAATTGTATAAGACTGCATATTCTTCTGTTATAATGAACAATTGGTAAACCATATTTTTTAATCTATGTGTTCCAATGATTTCAATACTTCAAAGAAACATGTTCTTATATTTTGAAATGTGCATCTAAGGAAACTACTTTGGTGTTTAGGAAAGAAATATGACCAGTAGTGCTATGCTAAACTATAATATAAGCTATTAAAAATAATTTTTATATGATGCTTATTTACAAATACTGTTAATATTTGATAACATTTTGTTATAATAAATTACACATAAACATTATGATAATTCATTAAATCTGATAACCAATGTGTTTTAAGTTTTTCACACACTAAAATTAAGTAGTGAGCACAAGTCAATTTTTCTGGCATGTGCTGAGTCCCCGACAATGGCATGTATATAATACATGTACATTGTTAATTAATAATAATAATTAATACAATGTAAATGATATAAATATAATCATTTCCTTCAGCCACTTTTATTTCTCTGCTTTTGTGTGTTTTATGGCTATATACACCTGAAAGGGTACCATCCTTCAGTGTTGACAGAATGGTACCCACAAATGTTTCAGAGACATTCCACCCTGCTAGAATATACATGAGCTTCGACATGAAAATCCTTTAGAAAGAACAAAAGGGGAAAGGAAGGGAAGCCTCAAAGTAAGGTGTCAGTGTGCATACGGTCAGAGGTGAACCTTGTGTCTCACCCAGTCATGGACAGAGCGCTCACACTGCTTCCTTTCTGGGAAGTACCTTTCTCCTGGGATATGAGGAGGCAGGCTTCGGTCCTCAGAGTTTGCCCTGGCACCATGGACCAATAATGCATGCGACATGTTTTACAATTTTGCCAGGGGCCACTCCCAATTTTAATCATTTGCAAATAAGATGACACCTTTGTATATACAGTGAAGTAGTGTGCAACAGAGACAATCAATCACTGTTTGTAACTGAAATGTTACACACTTTGACAAATTTTAAATGTCCCAGCTGTGTTGGATACTTTCTTCATACATGTAAAAATGTACAGCTAAAGTCTCTTCATCCCTCAGAGATACACAAGTCCTATGGAAATGTCCCAGGGACTCTCCATAGTTAATATGAACCAGTCAATTAAATAAGAACCATGATAAAATCATGAAGAAAACATCATCCTAAGTGAACTTGACCTAATGCCCAGCTTTTTTCTGAAAAGGATGGACAGCTTCAAAATTCAATAATCATCTATATAATGAAATTTCATTCATCTTTGTTGATATGAAAAATAATGACATATTCAATGTGCTATTGCAAAGGTGTGTTTAATTTGCCCACCAATTGGCAGCAACATTCTTCTTCTAAACAGAATCAAGGCGGTTCTTCAGTATTAGGAATGTGTATAGTCTGAGAAATTGAGATGAGACGAAAGGTTTTCTTTTTCAGAAGAATGTGGCAGTGCCAGTAAAACACTCGTTTTCTACATACGAACATCTAACCACAAGACTCCTTTCCCTCTCTCTCTCCCTCACAAATATTAATAAAAGCTGACATGGCAGAAATGGAATTTGATATATTCCAGGTGCTAAATTATATTCTTCATAATAAATAATACAAACCATGAAAATTTTTCATAAAATTAAATATATCTTGATGCCTTTAGCCATTTAGTCTATTTTATTCAGTATAAATTGCTTCCTGTAAGGTGCTTTGCATTCTATATTATCTCTTAACATCATAGTTGTTCAGAAATGAAAATGGGCCATATGCTGAGCTTCTAGCTGGCTCACCACTATTACTAAAGGAGTGTCTGTGATTCATTCAAAAATAAAGGAACTATCTGTTTATGTATAAAATCTGAAAGCTCATAATATGTCTAATATGAAATAAAATCTTGTGAACTAATTGGTACTTTTATTAGTGTAAAATATTATAATTCTGTTAAACCCTAATTTTGTTTCACCTTTTTTCTTACTTATAAGTGTTTGTATATTCTATGATTACTTAAAAAATCAAATCTTAGTCAATTTTTATGCTTGATTATTTATTGAGCTTGATTCCTTATTTCGAGTTACCCAATTCTGTAATATATAATTATAATATATAATTATCAGACTTTAAAAAAATAATTTCATGGCCAGGCAGTGATAGTACATACCTTTAATCCTAGCTCTTGGGAGGCAGAGTCAGGCAGACCTCTGAGCTTAGGGTCAGCCTGGTCTACAGAGGATAGCCAAAACTACACAGAGAAACCTTGTCTCAAAAAACAAATTCATGAAGCCTGGGGGAGGTGGCTCAGTGGATACAAGGTTGACTCCCCAGAACCCACATCAAGGCTGGTCAAGTATGGCAGGTGAGTGCAGCTCCAGTGCTTGCAAGGCAAAGCTTGGATTATCTGAGTCATGCTGGCTAGCAAGACCAGCAGAACTCAACTCCAGGTTCAGCTAGAGACTGCCTCAACAAATACAATGAGAACTGATCAATCAAGCAGGTCACCCAACGTGAACTTCTGGCTTCTACATGCCTGTGCATTCATCTGCGCACATATACAAACACACACACAGGCCAAAAAGAAAGAAAAATGATACACCACCACCCACAGATGAGCAATTGAAGCAAAAGTTTAACTTAAGTCTCTGTATTCTCACTGAGTAATATTTTAATCCAAGTTTCCATAGCTATTCCAACCAGCTGCTCTAATATGTAAAGAGCCATGACGTCATTAAAATCCCCCACCTTCTTGGCAGATGTGATGTGAAGTAGAAGACCAAGGATCAAGAACCAAGGTTTCCAGGTCTTCCAGCCATTTAGCTTCTGCCTAACCCCAAAAGGGCTGCTTGGCCTCCCTCTCCCTCCCTCTCTCAGTACTCACTGGGGACATGCACTGTCACCATGTGTCAGCGACTGCTTTACATACTGACATGTGGATGAAGGATGGACAAAAAGGTTTCTAGCCCTGGCCATGATGTTTCAGTCCTAAAGTCACATGTGCAGATGTTGAGACACATAAGGCACATAAAGCAGCTTTCCCTCTGGTTGCAGAGTCATCAGCCATTAGCTGACAGCACAGGACGCTGACCCAAGAGTCTAACTACAGACCAAGAATTGTAGCTCCTCAGTTATGAAAATATTGACCTCTTTGATTACTGTTATGTGCATATACATAAAATATTCTATTTTTAGCTATTTTTTTAAACTCATTTCTGTTCATCAGAGAGCTTGACTGCATTTTAAATTATTAAAATAGAAAGAAATTATAATTTTCTAATAATATGATGCTAATCAAAATAAATTAAGTCAATGCCTGATATTTGCATTATTTCAACCAGTTGAAATATATTTCAATTATTTAGTTTCATTACGCATATTATGAATAAATATTTGTGCCTGTATAATAAATACTATTAGAAAAATAAAAGTGAAAACTATCAAAAATGCTTAACTTAGCTATTTACTTATATTAACTGTCATCTAATTAGTTCTATTAATAAGAAGGTTATCAGATTATAAAAACTTTTAAAACCATAAATGTATTTAGATATGTCTTTCTAGTTTAAGTTTTATAAATTTATTCTTCTGTGTTTCTATATTGATTTTCCATTTTTTTAAATGTGTTTTCTCATGTTTTAGAAAACCCCACCCAACTGTGACTGTTTATATAACCAGTGGTGGCACTCATATTCTTCTCCCCATATATTTCTATACAAGCTGTTAAGGGAAAATAGATACTAATTTTCAGTAGATAAACCACATTTCCAAGCTATAATTTTAACATTTTTTGCATGAAAAAAATGAGAAACAATCTCATTTCTCAGTAAAGCTAGCCTTGGACAAAGAAATTTTAAATACTTCAAGTTATCTATATAGTCACTTGGCCTAAAAGTGAGTGAAGTTTTTCTTTTTCTTCACTCACTGAAAAGAAGCCTCCTCAGACCCTCCAGCATGCGGTAACTGCAAGCATCTCTCCTGGAGTTTAACTGCGTCGATGGAGACAAATGTTCCCTTTGCTGCTCCTTTCCCATCTCACCGGTGTGTGGGTGTGAGCAGCATGGTCCTGTGATTTATGGAGCTTTCAAACCAATGTCATTGCAGAGGCAATTAAAGTGTGGTTTCTGCTGCTGTTACAATAATTGCTCCTTGAGATTAGATATTATTCTTAATTTTCACCACTTGTCAAATACAGGTTTGTTGTTATGATGTTGGGGCACAGCAACTGACCTATGTTCACAATGGTAAACTCAGGGGACCAAGAGAGCACCATGCTCCCGTCTGCCTCACAACTATAATGTGTCACAAGCTACTCATAATCAACACTTTGCCACTTTAACAACTACGTTTTAATGAGTTACTTTCTTTGCGAGCCCATGAATGAAAATGAATCACATTTTTTGATATGTTTAGAAGAAATTGTTGGAGAGGTGCAACAAACCAGACATCTCAGAAGAG